TTCACGATAACAAGTTATGCTAATCAGAACAGGTTATGCTAATAAGTTTCGATCCACTGAATAACACGTGCAACTAAAGGGTCTTATTTCGCGCCAAAATTGCCATGTGAAACAAGATGTTCAGCTTCCCGCCACAAACAGTCATGACAAAAATTGCGCAGTTCTGTTCAGATTCCAGAATTTTACTTAATGAGAGACAAAAAAAGCATTATGGATCGAAATCATAAACATGCGTTTCACCTAAGATCCAGTTTTCTAAAAAAACTTAAGATATGATGTCGAAGCTAATCGCCGTGATATATCATTAGGGAGCTTTAGCATCGACGACGGCAACTGCAACGAAAACGTCAGTTTTAAAATGAATTCGCGTTTTTTCAATCTTTGTCGCGTTTACTCCAATTTGCTGAAATGGCAAGTGTAGGCGAATTTCCCTGGAGTTGATTTCTTGAGGACCGCACTCAAGTTTAGAAAGAGAAAAAGAGATTCGTCGTCGCTTGTTTACGTCCTCCATGAAACTTGCAATTAGGCATTTTCACGTCGTAGTCGTGCAAGGACGGTAAAGAAATATACGAAAAAGTGTGATGCACTTTTCAAAGTTGTTGTTTTGGGTAATAAACCTATTGCTTTTTTGACGTCCTATTTGCCGTCACCGTCGTCGTTGCTAAAGCTCCTTATTGTACAATACCGTCTACCTAAGCTTTCATGTCCTTCCAAATCAGAATTGGCAAGAAGCGGTTCTGGTTCCTTGCTAGAACGCTCTCTGCCAATTAATCCAAATAAGTTTCCCAGGCCACAGCACAATTTCGATAACATCCTTAGCGGTATGGCAAGGACACTCAAGCACATCAACTTTCAAAAAATCCGTCTTAAGATCCGTTTGTGAAAGTAACACCGTCCCACGTGACTTTAAAAGAGGGTACCCAAACTGACGTAAGAGGGCGATAATCATGCTGACATCACCTAAAATGGACCAACAGGTTGCATTAAACAAAGCTTTTGAATTCATTACACATATTTCTTTTTTTCTTTTTCTTTGCTTTTTTGCTTATTATCTGTAATATCTGATTTGTAGTAGAATTAATTTGGCACCCCTCGACTAGCGTTTTATTGCTATATAACTGCGTGCCAAGAAATTGTACTTGCAATATTATGATAATAAATGTCTTGTCTTGTCTTGTCTTGTCTTGTCTTGTCTTACAAGCATTCTTTTCACTTCGTTACAAATTTGAATAACAAAAACAATGTCTGCAAACAGTGATGTCCCCTGTCTCCCGCCACGACATGACATTCACAATTGTCATTCATCATGCATGAGGCCTCTGGTGAATATTAAGTAATACTGATTACGCTTTCGATTAGAGCTTGTCGCCAATTCAGTGTCTGATGTTGTTTCGGCCCTGTTCTGGTATGTTGAGTGTAAACAATGTGTGACAATATACTCAACCGACATCTGCAGCTACGGGAGTTAAAATAAAGATATGCTTACTAATCGTTTTGAGAGCAAAACTGTAGTCCTCGATCATGTCAACGGAATAGACACACTGCCTATACTTCATCTTTGCAGTTTTGCCTTGTCTGCGGAATAACATCTTCATCTTCTTTAATATATCAATCAGTTCTCACTTTTGAAGGTCTTCTTTGCTACATGTACGCTAAAAGATAGATTTTCTAGTCACTGCTTTCTATACTACGTTAAAAGGGCCTTTTAGACGCTAAGGGGATAAACCCCTTTGTTAGCCTTTGGTATAGTTGTACTTGAATCAAGCAATGTTTTCTGCGAGTTGTTTCATTTAGCCTGTTTTGTTTTATAGCATAAGCCAAATGCAAATTCGCCGTTTTTCTTCAACCTGAAACTCCTGCCTCAGGTTATACGACGGAGAAACATGCTTCTACGCGTAACGCGTCAGGGGTAAATTCAATTTAGATATTTTCTCGAGACTTAAAATAGGTTTTGTTTATTTGGGTCAGTAGACTTTCCGTTTGTAATAACATTTATCGGTAATTATGCTACTATTCTGTGTAAATTTTGAAAAGTTTCGAAGAAGCGCTATTCAAAAGCATAGAAGAAAAAAGCTGCAGTCCGAAGTTATAACAAACAATTACGAGAAGTGAAGCGGAACAAGCTAAGGAGAAGTTGGTTTTGTTTGATGTGTGTCTCTCTGACAAAGAATACACTCTTTTGTCTTTTTTGTTTGTATGTATGTTTGTCGGGGCGAGGGCGGGACGGTTTTATCTTCTGCCTAAATTACGTAAGAAAGGTTGTCTAGGTAGACCAGTGATCTCTGGATGTAATACGCCAACGGAAAAGATCTCGGCATTTGTTGATCACCACCTGAAACCGCTCATCGCAGTAGTACCATCTTATGTGAAGGATACGAATGACTTTCTGAAGTATCTCCATGACATCAGTACGCTCCCTAGCTGTGCAATAATGGTGACCATTGATGTAGTGGGATTATATCTCCATATACCCCATGATGAGGGACTACAATCTAGGGAG